GGGAACCATTTCAAGGAGAATTCAATAATCTACCAAGACAAATAATGTAATCAGTTAACCTAATGAGGTGCCCTTCTAATGAGGTGAACAAACCTGAGCAAACCGCTGCTTGAAATAATCATAAAGCATATGCGGCTTTTGAGACAATACTGCCACTGGAGTATCATCCCCCATGCAAAACGTCGGTTCTTTTCCTTGTGCAGCCATCGACTCAATTACCATTTGAACATCTTCACTTGAGTAGCCAAACGCCCTAGCCACAATTAGTGTATTGATCAGGAAAAAAGCTAATACTATTAGCCTAATAGTATCGTCAAAATGCAAAACCATTGAATTTTACTGGTTAAAATCATTGATAAACTTTGTACTTTGAAAAAATCTACTTATTAACCCTCACACTAGATGCATGTCAAGTATACAAGACAATAGCAGTTAAGAAAAGTTAAGTGGTTCGATTTTAGATAAATCACAATATGATGTGCATGTAGCAGATGATGGAAGCATAGAACAGGAGAAACAAAAAGGCTTACTGTTGGCGTCTTAAGGTCTCATCAGTCTCCATGATTGCTGACGAGAGAAAATTAGAAGGCTTCAGGTTTCGCAGGTTTTTACTGACCCACTTTCCATATGGGTTATATGATGCAACCCGCCTCTTTACTTCTGTGTTCTCATATACCTGAAAAATAACATATTAATAATGGGATGCAACATAAACAAAAATTATTTTTCAGAGTGTTACCAAATGAAGAGAACAATCGACCATGATCTGGTGCACCAACCTGTCCACTCTCTAAGTCAACAGATATCATCATGCCAGGTCCTAGCCGACCCTTCATGGTGACTTTCGATTCATCCATTGGAAGAACTCCGACCTGTATAAAGGCATGACTTAGCAACTCTTCTGCGCCAGGATATAAACAAAATTGGAAACAGATCCCCTGTCTATCCAAACCAATTCTCTCGCTTTACAAAGTATTAACTCGTTTCCTAGAAAGCTGTGTCCAAAGAAAACATTTCGTTTTCTAGAGGCTAGAGGGGATTTTAAACACTCCATATGTCACGCTAAACGATCACCAAGAAACTATCTTATACTGGTTACTATATCTCAAAAATCGGTTGGTATAACTATGTCACACTAAATCAAAAAAGAAAAGCGAAAAAACTTCCAAAGTGATTGAACGAATTGGTTTTCTAACCTTTCAGGACCAAGCTTTAAGATTCAAGCATAAGCCCAATCATCTGCTGGCAACAATTACCACCATGCTTAGATGATAAAGAGCACGTATATAGGGTAAAAGACAAAACGCACCTCAGAGGCTACATAGACAACATTATCACTTGTCCGCCAATATCTAGCAGGTCGAAGTCCATTGCGGTCAAGGCAAGCTCCAACAGTCTTTCCATCACTGCACCAAACAAAAGGTGACGATGTTTTGGAATGTGAAAGCAGAAGAAAGAAATGTGACAGGCTTGCTAGCTAGAATAGCTATCACTTTGAACGACAAAATTATCATCAGGGTCATTTGCTTTCTAGTCATCCACAACTATTAATACCACCAAAAAAAAAGAGCTAGTAGAAAGATCTGAGTGATTAAGAATTACAAGCCTTCTAGAACAGTTGTAAACACACAGCATTCTTAGTTAATAACTTATGGAGGAAGAAGGGCAACTGAAAGCTTAAATCTTACGCACATGACTAAATTTTAAAGCGTAGAAAATCTCCAAGCAAATTACCTGAACAATACCAAAGCAGGTCCATCCCAGGGCTCCATTTGGCCCTTGTAATAATCATAGAAGTCTACAGCCTACAGTTGGAAAGCAGATAAGTGAAGCAATTTCAAGTTGCAAACATCCATAAAGACCAAAAAAGCGAACACAAAGCAATACCTCAGGGTATTTAATCATTAAAGTCGGGTGATTTTTATACGCCTCTGGGACAAGAATCATAAGAGATTCCTCTGGAGTCCGGCCACTTCTTATCAATAGCTGCACAAACTCAATAATATAAATACATTGAATTCTTGCAGCAATAAAAACTATCACCTAGGGCCTTGAGGTTATTCTGAAGAGTGTATAAATGTATGTACTTGCAAGATGTGTTGCTTTTTTCATGAAATGCTCGTGACATGTCAGAAGTTTTATCTTTTGGTCAACAGTTAGACAAGTTATATGTATGCAGAATAGGACTATTGGTTATTTCCAAACGCAAGAAACACTTATGTGCGTCGTCATTTTTCCTCCAAAAGGGGAATAGACAAATAGAAGTTAGGAGGCTAGATGACGCGTACCTCCGCTGCACTGTCAAGGTTAGCAGAGTCTGAAGCCTTTGGATTGCTAATTGGACGAATATCATTTTCACGTCCATGCCAGACAGGTGATCTTAGAGATGCTTCTCGTGAAGTCATCCAGTTTAGGTTCCCCTGCAAAACTTGTCCGGTTTCAGTGAAGAGGACCTAGCTTAGTCTTTAGATCCAACAAACCAATTGACCAGAAGAGAAGCAAAACCTGTATGGTATTGATCTCCCCATTGTGTCCAAGAAACCTCATGGGTTGAGCAAGATGCCATCTGGGACTAGTATTTGTGCTAAATCTTCGATGATAGATGGCAAAAGCAGATTTATAAAGATCATTTTGAAGGTCGGGGTAAAATAACCCAAGAACTTCAGAACGAAGCATTCCCTTGTAAACAATGGTCTGATTGGATAAGGAGCTAAAGTAGAGCTCAGAAGCCCAACTTTCAGAAGCAACTGCTCTTTCGATCAGCTTCCTGCAAATGTAAAGTTCTCGTTCAACGTCGTCTACTTTATCGTCTTTGACAATTCTAACAAAGACCTGTTCCGTGTTTGGCATTGTCTGTTTTGCATTATGACCGACAATGGACGCTTCTACAGGAACATCTCTCCATCCAAGCACCTCCAGGCCCTCTTTCTCAAAAATACTTGTAATCACTGAAGAGAAGTTTCAAACATTGACTTAGCAATGAGGATATTATATATAGGAAAGACTATAGCTTGGAGTAGATACTAGAGCTGCAATTCACAATCAATGTGCATACAACTATTCTATGTTCACCTTTCTTGGCTTCTGCCCTAATGTTGTCATCTCTCGGTAGGAAGAGCATTCCAACACCCGTATGCGTCTTATCAAAAGAAGCCATTCCTTGCTTCTCAGCCCATTCGTTAAATAGATCCCAAGGAATGGAAGTCATCAAACCAGAACCATCACCAGAAGTATTATCAGAACCACAACCTCCCCTGTGTTCCATACAACCAAGTGCTATGAGAGCATCATTTACAATCTTATGTGTAGCCTTATTCTCCAAGTTCGCGATAAACCCAACACCACATGCTCCCCTTTCTGAAATTATATCTTCCAAGTAGGCCACCTGCAAGGGACGAAACAAAATAAAAACTCCGCAAAATTAAAACAAACGTCCATAACCAAACATCTTGCAGGTGAAATTGTAAGTATACCCAATATATACACACCAGAACTGAAAGTGCAAAAGTCAAAACCAAAATCTAGATCAACAGCAGATAAAGATGCAAGCTTTTATCTGATCGAAGAGAAGAAACACGATTACCTGAGGTTTCAGATCAGAAAAGGAAGCCGATGCATCACCAGCGGCCCGGTCAGAATTCAGGATCGCTTTGGCCGAAAACGGAGACCTCAGCGAGGACTTGAGCAGTGGACTGTAGCCGCGAAACCCGGAGAGTTCGTTACGCCGTTTAGTTCCTTTAGAAATACAGTAGGATCCGACGAAGTCAACAGAGAAGATAGTCTTAGTAGAGCTTAATTTCGCGGAGGTTAGAAGCCGGGAAACGGAAGACGAAGCTCCGGCGGCGCCGGGAGACTGTAGCGCCATGGAATGAAGCTCCTGAGAAGAATCGCAGAGAAACGCCGAGAGAGAAAGCGATCGATCGGATTTCGAAGTTTACTCTCTCTCTCTGCGACTGTTGTAGTTTAATTTCAAAAAGTCAAAATGGAAGCAGAGATTTATAGTGAAGTGTACGGTGCACCGGAATCGCAGAGAAAATCCAACCGGTGACGTTTCTCAGATCACGGCACGAGCTAAGAGTGATCAGTGAGCACGACCACGCGGGACTCTAATCGCCGTCGCTATTTTTTGGTGGTTGTTGTTGTAAAGGACTAAAGGTGGTGAAATTGCTTATAGTTTTATTAGCTCTCTCTTGTCTTCAAACGCGATCGCGTTTTTCTAAGATTTAGCGGTGCGTTTGGTGACGCATGTCTTTATTTACAGATACTACGATTTAATGTTGAATTAGTGGTTAATATGTAAAGAAATGGCAAGTGTTTGGTTCAATTTCAAGAACACGTAATCATTTCTTTGTATTAAAATAGCGTTTAAACAGTCGCAAAATTAATTTTATATGGGGACAAATGGCAGAAGAGAACAAGAGATTCTCTCTAAGTTTACCACAGAATACGACAACAACAGCGAGTGTTAGAACCTTAGAACAATTAATTATTGGAATCTTTTACTCTTATTTCTTTATTCAAGAAAACAAAAGATATCATCATCACCTACGTAACTACATTGCCCAAAGTTGTGCATCTTTTATAAAGTTTTGCTTCATGTCTTATTCACTAAATATTCAGCATCCAATTACCAGACCAAGAAACTTTCAACTTTTAGAGAAGAAAACTCTAGTTTCTGTCAAGAATCTTTTCTGTTTTTGAACGAATCTTTTGGTTGGTGCATCAAATATACTTTGCTACCAATTTAGAATATACAATCGCATTTGCAATTCCAAAAACTGTAAACCACTTCCATTTTTTATGTAGTTGATGGAGTCTTGTTAATGGAAATGTATCTGTAATAATACAGTTGAAATTGTGCAACTTGTTTTTTCTTTATGTTTAAACAATTTAACTACGTCACATTGACCACACTTATACTGCAATGTCTAATTAAAAAATAAAATGAATCAACCACAACAATAATTCAAATCATTTTATTTTCAATAATTTCCAGACAAGATCATCACAATTTTCATATAATGAAAGGTTACATAAAAATTATACAAGAAGCTGATTACAAAGCTTAATACAAAATCTATAAATTGAAACAAACGAACAAACAAAATGGGAGTCGTACTTCATACTTGCAAGGTAGCCTATTTGCATTTTGCAGAGCTCTTACTTGGGAAACAAGAAATCTAAAAACGCCAGAGACAGATTGAGACCATCTCAATTGTCATCTGTGAAGACCTTAAAGATAAAGTCACGGAAACGCCTCGAGTATTGTCTCGGATCAACCGCAGATATAGAGGAAGGATCATACTGTATGCTCTTGTAAGCGTGTTCAAGCTTCTTGCTGATATCATAATCCTGAAGAATGTCAATTATCCCAAATATCATCACCACTTCGTAGAACTCTCCTGTAGGTTCTCCCACAAGCTGAAGCTCGCAGTCGTTCTTTCTCATTGTTCTCTCTGCACGAGCTGGCATGTTGGTCCCCAATCTAATACTTGCCCACCTGCAACAACATAACCATATTCATAATCCATGTTTCTGTGTTTCGGTTTTGAGTTTGAAAGTGTTGGTAATTGATCTCGTCTTGGGTTACCTTGAGGGATCTGACAGAAGCTCATCAACCTCTGCTCTAGAAAGACGAGGGCCTGATTCTTCTTCTGATTCACCTGTAGATAAGAAAACAAATCATTTTGCTTCTGTGAATGATTCATTTTTGCTGTGGGAAAAAGTAAATATTTTTATTTGACAAAAGCGAACCAATAGGCGTTCGAGCTCCAGAAGGAATCAGCTCTCCAGCGACAGAAGCTTCTCTGAAGTGAATCCCAACTAGAAGACTATAATCCATGATTCTCTCCTGTTCTAGAAACTCGCAGTCTTTATCGATTTGCCTGTGATGTAAACAATGAGCCATGAGATATGAAACAAGCACAAACAAACTATGGACAATTAAAGGATAATGGTTTTCACCTGATGAATTCTTGGTACCATGCTTTCTGCAATCTGAAAATGAAATTCAGGTCGAGGTCTTTTAAGATCGTGTTTGAATCGATTTCTGATTCAGGTTTGTCAGTAGTACGGCCAAGAGAAGATCCTTTTAGATCAAAGCGTCTGTGAACAGAGTACTTAGAACAAAACAGATTACCCATAATGACGAATCGCACCTGCATTATATGCAAACCAAGAGAGTTATCAAACTAAACCAATTGTTTCAACAACCATGCCACATAAAGTGTTAATTTTTTGTATCTACCTTCTTTTGGGTTGGTCCATTCAATTTCACACAGTGTAGACCAAAGAATCTGATTACCAAAGAGTTCTCAAATGCTCGAACATGGTTATAATATGCTGCAAGCATCCCCAGAAGCACCTACATTAAGAAGACAAAAAAAAACGCTCTCAGTAAATGCAATCTGAAAAGTTTTGGTAATAGCCAGCCAACACTTTCTAACCGGTAACTTGAAAAGAACTCACTTTTGTTTCCGACTTCTTCATTGTTTTTATCATGTAACGATCATCGTTTGTTAAATAAAAAAAGCTCCCACTTTTTCCAGGGGATGATAGTTCTCGAAGGGCATCATTCCCACAGATAGATAACATGTAATCAGCTGGGTCTACTTTGAATAGCTTCCTCAAGCTCCTGGAAAGTTATACCACAAGCAAAACATGTTAAATCATAAGTAAGACAGGATTTGTAGCAATGTGAAATAGGTAAAGGGATTTTTTTGTCTAACCTGAAAACTAGTGGGCAATAATCTTTCCATTTGAATTCAGTAGATTGATGTGGAGGTGTGTACTTGGTTCCTTCGCGCGGAAACCTCCTCCATATCTTATCTTTTGGATCGAAAGCTGAAGGCTTCAGATCAAGAGATGCCGCTGGAGCTTGTCTTCCGACAGAATGCCTGCGGAAATAAAATCACTAAACATGACACCAAAAACACAAGCACTGCTCCATGTGCGCATATATACCAACAAAATTCAAATTTTATAACTCAGGATGCATAATATTCTCAAACTTACCTGATTCCTAACTGTAGATTAAGCATAAGCTCGTAATTGCGATGGCCTTTGGATATCGTCTCCCCTTGCTTCCTCCCTGCCTTTGGCAGTTTCATAGGAACAGGGCTCGACTTCAGGCTCTGAATACCTTCAGCGTCCAATCTCATCAACTCTGCATCCAACTCCTTCCTCATATCAGCACCTCCTTCACCGATTTCGTTCCCCCACAAATTCATCTTCTCAAACGCTCTATCAACGCCCACACTTACCCTCCCATCAACCGACGTCCTCCTAGGTTTCTCTATACGCTTGGAAGAGTTCCAAACAGATAGTTTCTTCTGTGAAGGCAACGTAGGAACCCTCTCGCCACTGCAGATCGTGTACTCACTTAGATTATTAAACAAATCTTTAGGATCCCATTCAAGATTCCCTTCATTTCCTGACGGATAATAAGTACCGTTCATTTCCTCTGGATCCTTAGACCAATGGCCAACATAGAAACTCCCATTGTCCCATTTGAACGTCCCATTCCCTCTGGGAAACCCTTCATCCCAAAAACCGTCGTACCTATTTCCATTTGTCCAGACAAAACTCCCTTTGCCACAGATCGTACCATTCTTCCATTCACCGATGTAATAGCTCCCATCGCTCCATTGATACTTTCCTTGACCTTCTTGCAAACCTCTCCTCCATTCACCATCATAGGCATCTCCATTTGCAAAACTCTTGACGCCATGTCCGTGCTTCAGGTTCATCACCCACTGACCTTTATAAGCATCTCCACTCGGACCCGTGTATGTCCCAATACCATCCATGTAACCACTTTTAAACTCTCCTTCGTATGTGGCCCCAGATGGCCACCCAAATTTTCCATTCCCCATGGTTTTCCCATTGTACCAGTCACCGATGTACATGCAGCCATCTGTCCAGAGGTATTTCCCATGGCCATGAGGAAAATTATCATACCATTGCCCTGTGTAGTAGTCCCCATTGGGAAGCACTCTCTCGGCATGGTAGAATTCCTCTGAGCTGCTCCTGTTAGTGGTGGTCTCATCGTCATTTTCATCAGTTGTAGTATCATTATCTGTATGTGGAGCTACCGATACTGTTCCAAAAACGCTATTTGCCCGCTTCTTGGCTTGCTGAGTCTTTCGCACGGTCACCTCCCATGCTTTTAGAACATAGCTTTGGTCCTTGCTCATTATGTTAAACTAAGGAAACTTCTATCTAAAAACCTGTATATTATTAGTACCTAGATAACAACAATCCTAAAGGTATCATCAACAAACATATGTGTCACAGGTCATTTTTCTTTTGCCTCTGTGAATTTCGGAGGCAAAGAGCTTACTTTTTCTCACAAATTGCAGCATTATTCAATTGAATGTTTCTCTGGACCATGTTCCAAAACAAACAAAGATAAACAGAGAAGATCTAATGGCCAAAAAAAATAGTTAAAAGGGAAAAAATGTCTCCGAGATTTCATCTTTTCTTATCAGTTTTAGAAACTAATTTTGTCATTCAAAGAAAGGACTCGTTCATATCCTCAAACCAATGAAAGCCTTGAAATTCAGAGAAACAAGCAAGACCCTCGAATTCTCTATATTTAGCAATTAGCATCTCCTTGGTTCCCTCTAATACGAAGAAATTTTTATTACTTAGATAATAATTTGAAACATAATTTAAAAAGGGACTAATTTAGACGACTAAGTTCGTTAATTAAAATCACTGAAAAAAAATACAGAGTTAACCGAAACTCGCTGAGGCATTCTGTCGAACAACATAAGTTCATTTTTTTTTTCCTTTTCATCAATCACGTAAGTGAACTCAAAGAGTGAAACTTTAAGCTTCACCGAGTATTCCACACACATATAATCAAATCACCAATATAAATTAAGAAAACAAAGCAAAGCTCGAAAGGATCAAACAATTAGTAGAGTCATATCTTATTGAGCTTGGCGAGGAGGAAGACGGTGGCGGAAGTGATGGCGGGGATAAACAAGTCGTTGGGAATGGAAGTCGGAGCTATACGGTTCTTAATGAAGACGGCGATCGCAGGAACACCGAAAATGAATAGTAGAAACTCCTTCACTCCTCCGACGCCGGTGAACCCAGCTCCGATTAAAACCTCTTGAAGAAGCTTCTGAAACTCGTCCTTCGATAGCTTCTTCCCCTCCCCGAGATTGTGTATCTGCTCGTTTCATAAGTAAGAAGAGACGAAGAAGATGATTGATCAGAGTAATTAAACCAATTGGTTAACACATTTTGATTCAATTATTTCGGTTTAGAGTAAACCAAGTCTAAGACTCTGTTTGTAACAGAGACTTTTGTAACTGAACAAAGCTAGCTGAGCATTTCTCTTTTCATTGGGGAAAAAAGCTTTGAAGTTATTTTAACGTTTATCGTGGCATAATATTTATCATTATTCGCTACGCATAAATTCATTTTTCCTCAAGTATATTTTTCATTTTTATAATAACATAGAAAACGTTAAGAGAGCAAATGGTTACAAATTCCTTACTCAATTTTATCAAATCCAAAGAAGTGTCATTAATTTACGATAATAAAACTACATAATGAACAATAGAAATTGGAAGACTTTTATACCTACCTCGTAAGCTTGTTGTAGTTTCTCAACACTTGGCACCTTAAGTTGTGTACCACCGAGTCTTCTATTAATTTCCCTGTCGCACCAAATATATAAATAATCATAATCACATCACATGAAATATCATACCATAATCAAATTGTCATGATGCCGACTATTTGGCTCGAGTCTTTGTCGTTTATTTTTTATTTTTTAAAGCATTGACTTACAAACCATCCAGGACCACTAAATAATTTTTGTCTCCAAAACTCGAAAATTAATCGTTATTGAAAATGGTTGAATAACCAAATCTAATGTGTTTTCGACTCATCTATCGGCTTCATAATAATAATAAAAATTACTCGACAGCTTCAGCCACAATGCGGTAGAAGTCGCCGAAAGACCATTCTTGATCGTCATTTTGTTCTTCTAAGCGTTTGCGGTAGCAATTTTCAACCATAGCTTCCAAGTCTTTCCCGTCTACCTCTCCTTTCCCTTTTGCTTCGTTCCATTATTAAGTATATCACCCCCAAAAAAACGATAATTCATTAATGGAAGATATATATGTATTTTTATAATGAACATCAAGAAAATACGTGATTTGGGGGGAGAAAGAGAAAGGACGAACCGGTATCGAGAGCTTGACCCATATTGTGATAACTTCCTTCTTCTTCTTTTTTTTTTTTGCATATTGTAAAAAATTTGAAGGATAATATTGAGAAATAAATGTTGGAGACGTGACTTGTGAGGTGGGCTCAGTATCTTGGCATTTCCTGATCGATAAGCCACGTACCGGAAGCGTGACAGTTTAACATAAGGATCTAGAGAAAAAAGTGTGAGTCCATTCATTTCATATTTTACATAAAAATACTATTTTCCTTTGTTCACAATTTATTAGTTTTAGACTCACAATATGACTTCTGAGCAGCATAATTAAGTTTTGGGTCTCTTAGAAACATTTGTCAACTTTGATTTCTTTCTTTTTTTTTTTTATGCTTGTTTTTAACCCATCGAATGATTTCTAAACTGGCATACAACATTATAAGGAAGAGATTCTCCTGTTTTGCAAAATATCAAGGTGGAAAAGGCATGGAGATCTTTCTTTAATATGTCTCTGATTAAAACCACATTGGAGATAATTGACCCAAAAAAAAAAATACATTTGTGTCAAAAAGGATAAATTATTAGATTGGAAATGAGCATATGGAAGTTTGACATTTGGAGAAAATTCACATGCCTTTATTTTATTTTATATTTTCATCGAAGAAAATTCACATGCCAATACATACAGACAATGGCGGACCCATTCACATGATAGGGGTGTCACTTGATCCATGTAAAATAAATATATATATCATTTTTGCATTAAAATCCTAAAAGAATCAGCATCAAAGTCGGCAATTCCTTGCTTATTGACACCCCCATGTCTCGTGTTCGATTCCCTAATATGACTCATTTACTTAAATTTTTTCTTTTTGACGCAGGTAAAAATTATTTCTGGGTCTGCCACTGCATAGAGATAACGTATTTCTAAGTTCACTGACACGATTACATGTACACCCCATTCCCTCGTAGACGTTGAGTCACTCCAATCTTCTTCTTTGGACTCTTGCGAGATATTTACATTTAGAACAATGAATAGTTTTAAGCAAGTACCAAGCCTAATAATCCAGCAACATTAATGGTAATTAATAATTAGTATCATTCAACATTTAAATCTTGTAACTTAAAACGATAATGAAGTTTCTTTAGTTTGTCAATAGGCTAAAACACGTATCAAACCTTTTGACCTCTATCATTTAACTACTACGAGAAACATGAATTTTTTCATAAAATTATTTTTCTATGTAGACATATGTTATTAAAATTGAATCATTGCACAAAAATATTATTTATCTATTTCGTAAAATTCTAAAAGTATATATAAAATATTCCAAACGACTAGAACATATATATTTTGCCAAATGATCCCTTGTGATACCGGCCGGCTAAAACAACACATCCGTCCGGACCAAACAAAGAGACCGAACCATCTCAAGGCAACACTTGTCATCGATCAAAAGTCCAATAAACATTGCTTCTCAACTCTGATCTCTTTTCCTCTAATCTCTATCATCACCGCCACGTCACTGATTTCCCGCCTTATAACTAGGGGCAATCAACTCTCGCGGACAGAGAGACAGAGAACAAGAGCACTCAAATCACAAATCCTCGAAAAAGTAAAATTCTTATAATAAAAGAAAAAGAAACAAAACGGACAATTTGTGCTCAGAAAATTCATTCAGCTTTCCTTATTAGTCTTTTGCCAGCTCTGTCCCTCTCAGTGGCGGAGCCAGAAAATCTATTCATCGGGGTCAAAATATATTTTTCTTTCTAAAAGATGCATAAAAGGTAGCTTCATAAGTCGATATACTAAAAGATGTGAAAGATGTTTTCTTATTTCCACCATCACACAATCAAAGATTGATTAAAAACACAAAAAAGAAAGAAGAAGAAGGTAAAACGTTTTTAGATCAGGTCAAAATAAATGTTAAAATATTATATTACTTTATATTAATAGGTTTAATTGTAGTAGATTTACTTAAAATAAATTTTATTAGGCTAATATTATCTATAAGTACAGTGTAATTATTGGGTTTGTAACATAATTTTTTTTATAGGGGTCAATATTTTTATTGGATTGGGGTCAATAATTTTCTTTATATAAAAATTCAACTATTTTTAAAAATTTCACCGGGGTCAATTGACCCCTATGAATCTTCTCTCCCTCCGCCCATGGTCCCTCTGCAAACTTCTCGAACCCACTCTGTAACCAAAAATTCAATCAAAAAGATTTGATTTTTATTTTCCTTTTTCGGTGAGATTTTATCCTCTAAGGTTCTTGATACTCTCTAGATCGATTATTAGTTGGCTTTGTTCGGAAAAATGGAGGACAAGAACAATGATAAGGAGAAAAAACCCGACTTTACGTTCGAAGATGACGAAGATAACGAAGATCTAGAAGAGAACAGCAGTAAGTACGAGAACGACAGTGAAACTGATCAAAGCGATCTCGGAGATCTTCCTGGTGACGCTGATGGTGGCGACGACAACGATGAACCTTTCATTTCCCAGGTTCAATGGCCTCAAAGCTTTAGGTAATTATTAATTTGTAAAGCTCGAAACTTTCGTTGCACAAATCACTACCCATCTCATAAAGTTTTGAGATTTTGTGATGAACATTGACAAGTTTTGTGATTGGTTCTTTCAGGGAAACGACTGATTCTTATACGATTGCTGCATCACCAATCTTCGGGTCGCTCAGGAGTAATCCGAGTTTCTATAGAGCGAGCAGAAGTAATTTAGATGTTGAGTCTAAAGCCCCTTTGCTTCCTGAGAGGCATGAAGATTCAGACAAAGCCTCAGCTACACAATCAGCTTGGTCTCATAAAGGCTCATTTGCTGATGAATTGCCTATTGGTGGCTATGGATGCAGCGTCACTCAAACCATTTTCAATGGTAACCAAAACTGATTCTGATTCTTGGCCTAATTATGAAAACATGTGTTGTAACTTTATATTGGTTACAGCTATTAATGTAATGGCTGGAGTTGGACTTCTCTCAACACCTTATACAGTGAAAGAAGCTGGTTGGGCAAGTATGGTGATTCTTCTCTTATTTGCTGTTATTTGTTGTTACACTGCTACTTTAATGAAAGACTGTTTCGAGAACAAGACCGGTATTATCACTTATCCTGATATTGGAGAAGCAGCTTTTGGGAAATATGGTCGTATTCTTATCTGTGTAAGTGTTTTCATTGATTTTATCTTCCTTTTGATTAGTTGTTCTGTTTTCATTAGCCGCTGCATCTATAGAATCATAGTTTCTTATGGTTTCTGCAATGTTTTTCTGTCTTTGGTGCAGATGCTATTGTACACAGAACTATATGTAAGTGAAGACTCTTTGTTGCCAAATTTAAACTCATGGATCTAGAGTTTGTTTATATCTGCACAATTTGAACTTACTAGAATCTTTGTCCACTTTTTGTAGTCATATTGTGTTGAATTCATCATCTTGGAAGGAGATAACCTTACCGGGCTTTTCCCTGGTACATCCTTGGATCTGCTCGGGTTCCGACTTGACTCTAAACATTTATTTGGAATCTTAACTGCTCTCATTGTTCTACCAACTGTTTGGTTGAAAGATCTACGCATCATTTCCTACCTCTCAGGTACAATCAACTGCATTTTTTCCTTCAGATGATTGATTTCTTTAGTTAAGAATCTTGAACCAGTTCACTTGTTTTTCTTTCATTTCATAGCCGGTGGAGTTATTGCAACCGGTTTGATAGCAGTAAGCGTGTTTTTCCTCGGCACAACGGGTGGGATTGGGTTTCATCACACCGGGCAGGCTGTGAAATGGAACGGTATACCATTTGCAATTGGTATATACGGGTTTTGCTATTCAGGACATTCAGTGTTCCCAAATATATACCAATCCATGGCTGATAAAACCAAATTCAACAAAGCAGTGATCACATGGTAAAACCGAAAACCTCACTCTTATATTAGCTTTTGATGTTTTCATTCCAACTCTAAAACCAACAATTTTTGTTTTGTCTACATTGCAGTTTCATTTTATGCGTTTTGTTATACGGAGGAGTTGCAATCATGGGTTATCTCATGTTTGGTGAAGCTACCTTGTCTCAGATTACACTAAACATGCCACAGAACCAATTTTTCTCAAAAGTGGCACAGTGGACAACGGTTAGAAAACATAACCTGTTTTTTGTTTTTTTTTCTCCATAATCTTTGGAAGTTCCATTTTACACTAAAACTCCATCTTGGTTCTGTTTTATCCTTTTTTTCAGGTTGTGAATCCGTTTACAAAATACGCTCTCCTGATGAATCCACTTGCAAGGAGTATAGAAGAACTATTACCTGACAGAATGTCAGAGAACATATGGTGCTTTCTTCTTCTAAGAACAGCACTCGTCGCTTCCTCTGTTTGTTCTGCTTTCCTTATCCCATTTTTTGGTAAGAACATTAAGCTAGAAAGGTTGGGAACTCACTCGCTTGTCTTTTTACTACTCCTTAATGGTCTTCTTTTGCAATTGGTTTGTTTTCCACACAGGTCTTATGATGGCTCTTATAGGATCTCTTCTCAGTATACTCGTGGTTAGTTTCCATCATCCTCTTTAATATCCTAAGAACATTATTGTTACCAAATGCGACACTCAAAAACTCAAAAGTCTTTTACATGAATGTTTGTATGGTTCAGGCAATAGTAATGCCAGCTCTATGCTTCATAAAAATAATGGGGAACAAAGCTACTAGAACACAGGTATATAAATTGAGCCTTTTTGGTGTCCTGTTATCAGTTTCTTGAAGTTATTAGGGGATGATGAGTTTCTGTATTTGGATTCTTAAGGTTAACACTGAGTTGTGTAATACAGATGATTCTGAGTTCCACAATTGTGGCCATCGGGTTGGTAAGCGGAACCTTGGGGACATATTCTTCGGTTGCAAAGATCATTAGGAACTATCAATGAAGAAACTCCATGACAAAGCCCCATAGTTTCTCTCCTTTTCTTTGGGTTGAATGTTTTTTGTTGAAGCTAATAAACTCTTGATTAAGATTAATTTGGACTTAAAAGTTAATAAAACTAGTGAAAGGTTTTGCTTTCTCGTAGTTGTTACTTTTGCTTTTGTATTTTTGTTTATCTCTTCATTTTTCGGAGCCAACTTTCTCATGTTTAGCTTTGGGTATAATGAGCTCGCCTATTTGATAAAGGCATGCATAAATAATATCACAAATAATTAACCTGTAAAGATAGATATATAAAACAAAAATTTATGTTCTCATGATGTTTCAAAAATCTGTTTTTGTGCTTTTTTGTATGTCACAGTTGGTTCACAGCTATTTGAAACAAGAGGAAAAGAGACTACTTTCAGTTTCTTTTGAGTTATTTCATGACCGGTATAATATTACGAGTAGCAATAGAAAACACTAATTTATAACAATGTTTTGAATGGCTTGTGCCACAAATAATCCTTGTCGTCAACCTATAAATATATCGGGCTTCTTAATTTTTGCAGTTTTGGTCAAATTTTTGAGTCCTCTATCTTATTGTTCACAAGTCATGACTATCTTGATGAAAGTATCTAATGGTCCTTTGCGATACAATGCTTCTGGATAATCATTCTTAATTACTACATCTATTCCAAAATTATAACTTTTTTTAGATTTAATTTTTTCATTAAAAAAAAAACAAAAATTATAACTTTTCAAAGCTGTGAAAACGTAGGGATCTCATGCATGGTTCACAATCTATCGAAAATACAAGCAAACCCAACGATATTGAACTATAAAGAGAAAAAAAAAAAAGAACAGTTTTTACAAGGTTAGTATCGTCCATTTAGTGACCCAAACAAATATCTCTCGTCTCATCGTCACCGACATACCAAAGTAGGAAAATTACGAGACTTGAGGTTTGTCGGTCCTGTTAAAGTATCTGCTAAATTTTTTGTTATTTTTTTTTTTTCGTCTAAAGGATTTCATTGATAAAATGCGATTGAGTTTTACAAAGCCGACAAAGAACGAAATTCTTTCGGAGATAAAGCCGGCGGGTACATAGAAACCCCCAGAAACTTAAGGTCAAAAGAGGCGGACAAACATAACAAAGCCCAAACGAGGGAAACTTAAGCCCAAACGAGAGAAATTACAATCTACGGAAATAGATACGGAATTGGAACCGCTAAAAGCTTAGTCTCAATTAAGCCCAAACATGAGAACGACGAACATGGCGAGATACAGAAATCAAATCGAGAAACCTGACAGAGAATTTGACGAAGGAAGAAGAACGCACTTGCTCAACTCTTTCAGTCCAAGATCACACGACTAACTAAACTGAGAGGATCCTGCTGAACCGTGAAACGAAGACGACTAAACCAACCTTCTAACAAAACCGGAGGAAACCCAAACAAGTGGGTGAACTGAACTATCCGCGAATTGTAAGATGAGGAAACCGAATGAAAACTCAGCCCAGAGACACCATGGAAAGGCAAAGCAGAGACAAACCACCAGCAAAATCCAAGACACAATCCGCAAAAACAAGTCAACCGGGCTAACTAATGCTTCGGGCTAACTAATGCTTCGGGCTAACAACAACAAGGAAGCGAGACAGCCTAGACCGAAGACCGGAACACACAAACCTCCGCATGAGCAAATCGTCCTAAGAGTCTAAACTATCCAAACCAGTAAAGAGCGAGCCTAAGCCTAAGATTAAAACCCCACCAACAACCAAAACGGACCAAACACAACAACCCCAAAGATAGAAGAGACGAAGGACGATATTACCAGAAAGAAGGCAACATCGATTCAGCCGAAGACGAATCCAAAGATCCGCCTAACACCAATCGATTACAGGAACCTCCAGCCACCACTGAAACCAGATGATGACGCGAAGATCTAATCTGAACCGAAAGAGACCGGCGCACATGTAGGATCTGTCCGACAAACGGAGAAGAACCAATCTGAATCATAAGAACACCAACGCAAGACATATCCGTCTGAGGGGTTGCTACTGGCCGAAAACAAAGGAGAAAAACAAGTAAAGCGTAGAGACGGACTCTCTCACGGCTCCGATGAGGAGCACCGGAAACCGGAGAGAGTCAAAACGGTAGCAACTTTTTGTTATAGATTATTGGTTTTTTTTTTTTGTCCCAAAAAAAAAAGATTTGGTTTTTAACTTTTTTTATATATATGACCAAAGAAAAAAAGATTATTAGTTTAGTTTTTTTCTTCTTAAATATTGATGGACAAAATTTACAGCGAAACTTGAGGAAAAAACAAAAGAAGGATATTATTGATATTTCTTTCTCTATATGGAATTGGTTGGTAAATATACCTTTATTAACTATAAGGTACATTAATTCGATAACAAAACTAGATTTCTTAACCAGTAATAATATGATAGATGGTGACAAGTAAACAAATAGAACAAACAAAAAGTAAACATACAGAAAATAAATATGTATTAATGTGTCAGTTCTTGGTGACAATTGAAACGAGTCGGTCTATTGGCCGTGCAAAACAAGCGTCAAAACATTAGTCATCTTTTTAGTCAAAACTCAAAAGATAAAGATTGTTCCAAGCGAATGCGCCCTAAAAAATGATACATTTGTTTAGAAATATTATTTTTAATTCAAATTGGCTATCTCATAAATCGCTGAGGTGTTTTTTTTTTCTCGACATCGAACCATAGCTCACAAATCACATTAGAAAATTTTAAAAAATTGTGGAGCGTTGAATATTTCTACAATTTAAGACATCGCAATAGTCAACTACGATTAACAAACCGTACGAAACAAGTTGTTGTTACCATTAAATGTAGTTTGTATCAAATGAATATTTCCACTTAAAGATTGTTTGTAGATTGTAAATGCAGATGCGAAAAACAAACATATGAAAAAATCTATATAGGTTTTGCTTTTGTGTAATTGTGTTTACAATTTATAAATGGTTAACGAATATTAAAATAATATTTTTTAAATTTAAATAATATTTGAATATAATATTAAATGTTTGTGTTATACACAATCAAACTGATATGTTTTTTTTGTCTGTCACATTAACTTTAATTTACAAGCAAAATACCAAATCGAAATGCAAACATGCATGTAAAAATCATCGGATCCATCGCCTCAACAAATATTCATTGAAACTTTCATTTGTAACTTGTGAGGAGTCATAAAAACAGTATGTTTGCTCACTGAAATTTAATACTATATAACAAATGATTTTTGTTTAAAATTGATACTATATGATATATGACAAACTTTCAATTGTTATTTTTTTGTATTTTTGTTAAAATTTGAAATATATGAATAGTTAATGATAAATCATAGTTCCGTATCATTGTAAAATATTGAAATATAATTGTATTATTGCGTCTATTATACAGAGATGGGGTCATCCAAAAAAAAACAAGAGCGATACATCATACATCTATCCAAATGTTCTACTAAAGTCCGTGATAACTTAAAAGCTCTAAATGGACTATTATTTCTTTTCCGTTTGTGATCATTTACATCGGAGATTAAACTGATCACAAAATCATTACCACCAAATTGGAAAATTTTATAAGCTACTTGAGGCTATTACATATTTACACAAATAAACCCACCTAATACTGTTTGATTATTATAAAAAAAACACACAAACAAATGAAAGATTTCTCGCTTAAAAGATTTGCTGTTTATATACTCACAAACGCAAATAATTCGCGACAAAAAAAAAAACTATATATGTTATATATCTATATATAGGTTTTGATGAAAAGAAAACCCTAAAACTATAGATGGTTTATTCTTCGTGATCGGTGTTTCACTGCCGGAAACTAAAGACTCTTTTTTTGTTTTTAATAGTAGAAGATATTCAGAGAGAACCAATGCTTCCTAAAGCATTCACATTGTAAAACCCAGACGAGAAAAAACCAGAAAGACCTGCCGACATCTGAGGAGCATTAAACACTTCCTCATCCAACGGTGAATAATACTCACGAACCTCACCATCCAACGGCTCAGAGTTCATCTCCGACTCACACGGACGGTGGGGATCTGCGGCGACGAAAGTGGTGGGTGACGGTGGTAGATCGGCGGCGTCTTGACCGGTGAGTTCTTGAACAAGCTCTCTGAACTTGGAAGGACAAGTCTCGACTCTCATCGGATTAGATATGTAACGGACTTTGATGGGTTTGTTGGTCGTCGTTGACTTCCTCTTCTGCTTCGGTGGTATCCTCGTCGGAGACGATGATGACTTTCTCTGGTTTATAAGCAACGTTGATGATGACTGATCCATCTTCTTTTAGTTCTTTTGTAATAAGAGAAGATTTTAGATGTGTGAGCTCTCTCTTGTTTTAGTCCAATTTTTAAATATATATATATACAATAATAAACTTTGATTGTTTTTACTTTTTACTTTTAGGAAGGAGAGTGGAAGTTAATGAGAAAGGAGAGAATTTAGGGAAGAGAGAAGCACACAAAAATTAAATGGCCCTGGCGCGTTTAGTCCACGCGCGTTTAACTTCACCGTGTCTCCATGATCTTACTTAGATGACTAGTGTGATTTGTTACTCTTTTTTGATTGAATAATCTTAGACTAAACTGATGATAGTCATACTTATCATACTTGTTGTAATCGTATATCTACTAGAATAACCAGTATTTAAAGAATTGACCACATAGAGATATCTAAACCATTTGAACATTTCAAATTTTCAATGGCAGTCAAATTGGATAAATAATGAATTTTTTGGTGACAGATAAAATAAAACGTAATGACTGCTTTACAACCCAAAAATAATTAGAATTATTCAAACAGGGTTTTCATTATTTTAGAATCGTGGGTTTGTATTGCACGCGCCAAAACAATCGCGTTAAAGTGGAAGCCGCCGTCGGCTAATTAGCCATCAGGGGCATCAACAGAAGCGCCACGTCAAGATCGCTGATGTAGACATATAGACGCCATGACGTCACTTGACCCGGCGATATTGATCTCACCAAGTGTATAAAAGACAAACATCTCAAAAAATAAACATAATGGAAGAAGAAAAAAAACTAATTTAACTAACCTTCGCAGGAACCTTTGAAGGATCCATTATATTGATGAATGATGATGCTACTTATTACTTCATCATAGACTCATAGTGAACTAACACAAATTTGATCCTAAAACAAAAGAAATCAACCGATAAATTCTAACCATTTTATCAAAAAGAGAAGATATAAGTACAAGTGTAAATTATATTTTTGAACTATTTTTTTTTGTTACCACAAAAAAATGTGTAAATTATTATTTTTCTAACATATGCAGTATGAAAAGGGGAAGTCGTTCAATTAGAGTCAACTCAACTGTTTTCATGGTTTAAAGAGTCAACTCCAATTGGTGACCACGGGATACACAGTGTCTAGAGTCTAGCTATCTTTGCTCCAAATTCAAGTATGGCATTATAGATTACAGATCTAAGTACTGGTGATTTAGTTTAGTCAATTTTCTTAAAGAAAAAAAGGTATTGAGTGTATATGTGGAAAATTTGAAGTTAATATTAGTATTTAAACACCTAATACTGATTTTTAGTTATATTTTTGGCAAACTTTTTTCTTTGCCGACTCCAACAACAAAAAAGTGTTATTTGGTAGAAATTTATTAGCATCTATTACAATTTAAACATAGTGTCAATGTTGATCTCGGAGAGTAATTTATGAGCAGAAAATTCTTAAAAAAAAAACTATAACTAAAAGCTTATAATTGGAAAATAATTGAGAGAAATGAAGGCAAAAGGGGTCCATGTGGACAAGTGGGAAGGGGGAGGGTTCCCGGGGGAGGGTAGCACTGCGGTATGTATGTGCTGTGTGGTCTGTCCTAACTAAATTAAAGGTCTCTTAAAATCGATCTATATTAATGAGGGCCCTCTAATTGCCCCTCTCAAAACTCCTTATTTTAATTTCACTTTACATTCTATTCACAAAGTTGATGAGGTTTTTAATCATCGTATAGACTACAGTGGATTCTAAGAGAATAATATTCGGTGTTAGTTCACTACTCAAAAGAAAGTTATCAAAACATTCGAGAAATTTTAGTACTTTTAAAAAAAAAAAATCAAACTTAACCATAGAACATAGAAAGTCAAGTCACGTGTACGTAGACTGATAGTCTTTCAAATTCACATGACAAATAAGATAATTCCAAGTTTACGACTTGGCTCGATATATGTCAATAAAAGTTGGAAAAATGAAAAATCTCGTATATAACGAGAGGTCATCATTCTTCCCATAAACAAATAAAAATACCACTTTTACCAAAGAAAAAAAAAAAAAAAAAAACCCTCCCCTTGTTATGTATTCATTTTATAATAAGTTTTCTATCCATTTTGACATCATTTGTTGGAGAAAATGGTTATTTAACGTTCAAATGTTTTAGTATCGCACTCTCGAAAGAAAAAACAAAGAAAAACTTATATACAATAGATGGATTTTTTTTAATTATGTTGGGAATAACATAACCGATGTTACCAACAATACTTCAATTCTTGGTTTGAAGGAAAACTGTTTTTTTGTTTGGTGTATTGTTTGAAGGAATTTATTTAGATGTAGAGACATAAACGATGTAAGAAGATCAAAAACACTAATTCACAAAAGCGACGTATTTCCTTGGTTCAAATAACTATCACATCCTAATATTTATGAGTCTCATACCATAGAAAACGAATCATATTTTCTCCATAAGACCATAACCATTATAGAACTAATTTTTTTGTAAATTGTCGGCGACACCATTGCCCATTTCTAGCTTATGAATTGGGGCAAATGACCGATTATGTTGATGGCGATGAATAATTCGGTAAAATTACAGAAATTACAATAATACCATAGCCGAAGAATTTGGTGGTTTTTTTGAACACTAACGACAAAAGACACCAAAAAGTAAAAAAACGTATTCGTGGTTGCATTATTCGGAGGGCACGTAAGTGGGTTGACTATGGAAGTAAACAGATCCAAACGACTTCTTCCAAGACAATCTATCAAGCATCAAGTAGATACGTATTTATGGAGTTATTGTCCATGAAGATATCCCATTACACATATTCTCCAAGGCTCCACCCACTTAAATTTTTCTTTGTTCTTTCTCGTAGAACACACCGTACTGAATTCATCTAGGATCTGGATGTTATATTGATCTCATGGATATTACGTATAAATTGTATTATACGTACATATCTTATATACTAGTATTTGAGAAGTTAGAAAAACTTCTTTCCAAAGAGATTGAAACTACTATTATCAAGTTATTTAATACAAATATACATAATCTGTCCAAGCATCCGTGGTCTAGTAGCAGAGGAAGCTTTGGGAAAGGGTGAAACTCCTAAACCTGAGTTCGATTCTCCCTGGAAACAAAAACACATTTGTTTGGGAAGTCTGTCAGTTGGGCCTTAGTCCAATTGGTTTACCTGGTAGTCAGAAATGTAGGCGGTCTGACTACCCCTGACACTTTTATTTATGAATTTTGTCTATGTTTTTATTGATTTGGAGTGTGCATGCAGTCTTTTATGAATATTTATCAAAATTAAAATTCTGAAAACATTACATCCATATATATGTACTACTATATGTTTCTGTTTGTTTTGGATATTGTTTTCTCACATAGAAAGAGAAGTCCATTGGACCAATTTCCAAATTCCAAAAGCAACACTTACAAGTTTACAACCTTCCTCATCAACGATTTTCCAAATCCGTAATTAAAAAATGATAAATAAGATAAGCCCAATGGACCAAACTCCAAAACAAGCCCTCGTCCAATGCTTGAAGAAGGTGCCCAAAGTTTTTGAAGTCCATAAGAAAAAGCTTCTGTGGGGAAAGCAAAGAAAGTTTGGTTACTACTAGAATGAGCTCTTAAGCATATAAATTTACAAATACTTCTGTAACTTATAAAGTCTGTTTCCCTTGTTTTATCTATTTCTATTTGAAATACGCTGATTGATGATCGTGAGTGATAAGTAAAGTTCAAAACAAAGCTGATGGTGAAAATCTCACTTCCTGAATGTGGCTCAAAGTTTGAAACAAGCTAATACAACTAGGTTCAGAGATTCTTACGCAAAGAGAGGGTTTCATAAGCTTCACTTTACTCTGTTTTTGTCCCGGGACTGCTGATTAAGAGTTCATCAATAATGCCAACATCAGCTAGTTAGTAATTGAGTATAGATAGTAACAAGTTAAAAAAAAATCAAGGCATTGGGGTTTGACTTGGGCCCGTGTGTTTGGGACAATTCACCCTAAGGTAGGGTTCTATTTTTTGGAAATAAAAAGACCTCAATTTTGTTTTTTAGTTCAAATCCTATCAACTGTATGTCGTATACTTCACTTTAGTTGAACAACCAAAAGGAGTTGACCAAGTCGGTATTGGTTTCGTGAGATTTTTGGCTTTGAGACTTTTAAGATTATGTGGATAGATCAATAAGCCAACTTTTGTTCCATAATCTTTAAAGCATTTTTGCACAAAGTAGTTGGAAAGTTTGGTTGAATTAGGCTGCGGACAAAAAGAGAAAGTAGTTGGGGAGGTGTTTACGATTTCAATACATTCTTTGCCTCAAGTGAAATTTGATTTTGTTGATTTGAGTAGTTTTAAGATTGAAAATGAATCGACCTAAAAATCGGTGCAACGAGCGCCAGCTGTCACGCACGACATAAACTCTTAATAGTCACTTTCTCTATAAGCCTCTCAGAGCAAGTCCAATGGTGTTTCTTAGTGAAGTTCTTAAAAAATCTTTAGCTTAAAAAATCATTAAAATTAATAAAAACAAGATATTAGAGTTTCTTAGCTTAAGAATTATTTCTTAGTTTAGAGTTTTAGGATTTGTTAAGGACTCATGTTGTGTTGCCTTGTGATTGGGTGAAGAAAAAATATAGAAGCCAAAAATAAATTTATCTCTTGTTTTTTTTATTCTGCGACACTTATTTTGCTGTCTTGCAAAAATTTATCTTTTTTTTTTGTTTAAATGCTAAAGTCTTGTTTTGTGAATGGGGTTTTACTAAGACTCAGATTCATATATGGCATAAATTTGGCACGAATTAAGCTAAAGACTAATCGTTATTTCGGTTTTTTATTTATATTTTTAATATGCTTTTATGTTTTGTATGTTTAAAATTTAAGAAAATTGTAATAATTATTAAGTTTTATCAAATAAAAAAGTTTATAATTTTCATTTTAAAAATAATTTTTTTTTTTTAAGAAACGTATTTAAGGACTCTACCATTGGACAATGAAAATTTTAAGGATTCAACACAAACTCTTAATTTTGAAATTATCACAATTTATAATAAAAAAAATGATTAAGAGTCCTTTTAAAGACTTTACCATTGGACTTGCTCTCATGGGATTGTCACTTGAAGTCATCTTATTGACCCAACCAATGTCATTAGTGGTTTTGCCTCTGCTTCCACCTACTCCTAATTGTATTTATTGCTCACCCAATTTAATGTTGCACACCTTTAATTAAATAACCTCCCAACGAATCTTTTTTTTTCATAACGAATCTTTAAAAGCCCTAAAACCTCATGACTGTTCACAGTTCGATGTCTCTGTAGTGTTTTTGATTTAAATGTTCGTGTTTATAATGTCTTCAATTTCAAGCTTCCTTGCTTAATACTTGTAAATACTATATATACAGACACATACACAAAGCGTGACTACATGAGACAGCTCCTCTTGAATTGCGTGTGTAAATGACCAAAAAGGCAAAAACAACTTTTCTTTTGTTGAGCCGTAAATCAATCAATCTCTCTCTGTCTCTCTAGCCAATAATCTCACTCTGTTCTCTCTCTCTCTCTCTCGTTAATTTCTTGCTTTCAATGGAGAAACAGTATCTCACTTTCCTTTCGTTTTGTTTCTCCAACACAATTTGTGGGCTACTCATAGTTTCTTGGCTTGCAAGAAGTATCATCCGAAATGGGTTAATAAGAACATTAGCATGGAGAAAAGAAAGGAAGAAGAAGAAGAATCAAGAAGATAAAAACAAAATGTCTCTCCTGGATTTGCCTGACTTAACCTTAGACTGCATATTAGAGAAGCTCTCTCCATCTGAGCTATGTGCAATGACTTGTGTTTGCTCTGAGCTGAGGGACAAATGTGTGAGCGACCATCTATGGGAGAAGCATATGGAGAAGAAATGGGGAAGATTGATGGGTGATGCAGCAACACAAGAGTGGAAATCTCACGTTGCTACAATAATGAGATGTCTCAGAAGTAGTAGCAGTAGGAAGAGTAAACCAAACTGGAGTTCGAGGTTTGTTGCGAGTCTTAAACCCTTTGCATGGTTAAGCTCAAACCATGGTTGTGAAAACAGAGGATCATCATCAACATATTTGGCACCTATTGATTCTGTGATGTATTGGTACTCGAATCTTGAAAATGGCAAGTTTTGGTTCCCTGCTCAAGTCTACAATCGTGAGGTAATGCTTATGAACAAAAGATTTCATCTTTTTGGGTTTTAGTGTTTACCCATTTGAATAAATTGGAGAAAATTGTTTCTTTTGATTTCTAAATTCGGAGAATTGGTTTTTGTTTTGGTTTTGGATGCAGAACGGACATGTTGGATTCATGATGTCTTGTTACGATGCTAAAATCAGATACGATTTCAAGACTGATACATTTCAAGCCAGGTAAGAAAATCTTCCCGGAAAATGTGATTTTTTCTGAGGATTTTTCATTAAAACTTGAATGTCTCTGTTTCTCAAGATACTCGGCGCATGGCCGGCGAGCGGCGGAGGAAAAGGTGACGTGGCAGAGGCTGAGACCGTCTCAAGACGACACAAAGTCACGTGATCTACACGTGTCAGATTGTTTGCACGGACTTCGACCTGGTGACCATTTCGAGATCCAATGGCGAAGAACCAAAGAATTCCCTTATGGTCCCTCTTCTCTCTCTCTCTCTCTCTGTTTTCCAAATATTTTCTTCTAAAATCAAATTTAATTCGACTACTTGTGCGTTTGATTCGTCTGATTTTGGTGAATTTTCTTTAATTTTCCTCCGTAGGTTGGTGGTTCGGAATCGTTGGTCACCTGCAAAACTGCGACGGCGGAGAGAATTGCCGTTGCCACTCTGACGGTAACAATCTTTTAAGTTTTAATTTTTTTCATAAACATTCGATTCGTTAATTATGGAAAAAAATAATTTATGGGTTTTTGTATGTTTCGGCAGAGAATGTGGTGATGGAATTCAGACAATTCAGACAGGAGTCACCGTGGAGAAGGACGGTGATAAACAGGAAGGAACACCGTGAGACGGGAGATGAAGAAAACGGTTTCTACGGCGGAGTAAAGAAATTGGGTACGGAGGAAGAGATTTCTACATGGAAGCGATTGTGGCCATCACAAGCCTTGGAATAGTGTTACTTGTAATAGTTTTGGTTTCTAGTGAAAACTTTCCTAAAAATATTGTAAATTAATTGATTAATTATGGTTAGGGAAGAGACTATTTCGATATTGTCGCAGTATATGTAGTCGTAAATTCTTCCGTCGTTGACTGTAAACAAAATTTTGAATCCAAAAAAAAAGGAAAGGTGTTTATGGCCCTAATGCAATTGCGTTAAGCCTTGAGGAATTTGAAATTTTGAAGTAAATGATGATGATGCGCATGTTAGGAAAAAAAACAAATTGGGTTTATTAAGTCCAAGTTAAAACTAGAGGGTTCATATTGTAATAAATGAAAGTTCTGGGGGATTATGTGTAATATGTTTTATTTTTTTAATTATATATAATTAGTTTATAGAATAATGCTAATAAAAAATATTAAATCAGCAAACAATAATGAAAGATTCTGGATTGTTCTGTTTCTACTGATTATTTTGTTTCCATTTAATTATCTGAGTGTTGTTTTGAATTCGAGAGGTTCCCGGAAACATCCCTTCGTAGAAAATTCATCGGAGGCGACTTGAGGAGAAACGGAAGCTCCGATCGCACTATTTCGCGACGAACTCGCTCCCGCGATTGTTTCTGTTCATCCGATTAAGATGAACGGAGGTCCTTCCGGTTTCAGTACGTATCGAAATGAATAACCCATTTCTCATTAAACTCGATCAGCTTCGGGGTTTTTCGATTAATGTCGAAATCTTTGAAATTTGCAGATAATGCTCCGGTCACGAAAGCCTTCGTCATCGCGACTGCCCTTTTCACTGTGTTCTTCGGGATCCGGGGAGGTTCTTCCAAGCTCGGTTTGTCTTACCAGGTCATTTCTCATTTGATTTTGCTGTATTTGTGATCCTCTTACTCTTGTTTGATTTTTAAGCTCTTGTGGGTTTATAGAAGAATTGGGATTGGGTTTTGGTTCAGATTTGTTTTCTATTTGGTATTCTTGGTACCAATTGTTTAGCTGCGTTCTAATTACCAACATTGGCACTATAAAAGATTGCGGATTACGATTCCGATTATGCTTAGGTTTTCACTGTAGTTTGCAAATTTTGCTTTCTTAATAGGAAGCAGCTAAACCGATAAAGCTTTAGTATTGGTATCATACTGAATAGTGATGGAGTTTTTACTAGGATTAGTCATCAGCCAGTGGGGTGAGGCTCCAAATGTTAAATAGTTCGATAATTTGCGTCTACTCATCTCATTGTGTATGTCTGTAGCCTTGCACTTGGAAAGATGTTTGATTGTTTCAGAGATCTCTGTTCATGTGCTACAAGTTCAGATTTGTTTCTTTTGAGAAGGACTTGTAGTTGCTATGAAAAATTAGATATCTGAGATGCAGTCAATTGTATCTCTTTATAAACTTCTGCCAATCTCATTGCAGGATATTTTTGAGAAGTTTCGGATTTGGAAGTTAATTATATCGGCGTTTGCATTCTCGTCCACAACAGAATTGTTTTCTGGCTTGTATCTGCTGTACTTCTTCCGAGTCTTTGAGAGACAGATTGGTTCAAATAAGTATTCGGTAAGGGATAGTCCAGCGCAATTTTTTTTTGTCATGACTTTTTTGTCCATTAATTTGGTAACTAGAAAGATAACTGCTGATAATTCCTTGGAGATTGAAACTCTATGAGTTATGTGCTCATCCTGCAGGTTTTCATCTTGTTCTCTGGATTTGTATCACTAATACTAGAGACCATTTTGTTATCACTGACTAAAGGTAACCTTCCAATTTCAGATAGTCTCTTCAAAAACTACACCGGTTTGGTTAGTACTCTTTCTTAGGATATGATTTAGTGGCGCTAATGCAGACAACTAAATGGGATTGTAGTTATTCGTTGTCTTAGATTATCCTTGTTACTAGTCTCACCTGTGAAGGGAGGATTGGGATATTGTGATGATCTTTTTTTTGGTTTCAAATTCTGTTCTGCAGTTTCCTTCACTCATACTATTGAATACATCTTACAAAGAATTCCCTTGGTCCACCATTTAAATTATCAAGAAATGCTTTTTGTGCATTCTTAATAAGCGTTTTTGATAGTGGGTATATAACAAAAAGCTGTTTTTTTTGTAGATCCTACTGCAAACCTACTGACATCTGGACCATACGCCCTTGTATTTGCTTCTTTTGTACCCTTCTTCTTGGACATTCCAGTTACAAAGAGGTTTGGTGTATTGGGCGTCCACTTCTCTGATAAATCATTCATATATCTTGCAGGTGTCCAGGTAAACAGTACCATATGTTTATTTGTAGGACTTCTTATTCTACTGTAGAATACTTTTTTCATTGATAAATTGTCTTGGTTCCAATATTTGTAGCTTTTACTATCATCTTGGAAAAGATCCATCTTTACTGGAATTTGTGGCATAATTGCTGGTTCCTTGTATCGGTTGAATATCTTTGGTATTCGCAAGGCAAAGGTTATACCTTTCCAACTTTCTGCTTAAAAACAAACATCATTCATCTCCTCAAATGTGGGTTTTTGTCACTTTAGTAACACAGTGGCACTAACACTAGTTTTTGTCTGAAACACATGACAGTTTCCGGAGTTTATGGCTTCATTATTCTCCCGGTTTTCCTTACCCTCCTTGAGCAGCCAATCTCAACCACCAAGAAGGACCTCACCTAACTTAGGTCGCCAAGCAGTGGCAAGTCTTTATCTCTGCAGCATCTATTTTTTGCCTCTTTAGCCATACTCTTGTTACCATCTAAATGACTCATCTTCATTTGCTGACATGTAATGTTTCTGTTTTTCAGAGAGCTTATCGAGCCCCAATGCCGTCAACTACAGAGCCATCTGAGGAAGCCATAGCTACTTTGGTATCTATGGGATTTGACCAGAACGCAGCAAGACAGGCGCTTGTACACGCCAGAAATGATATCAACGCTGCCACCAATATCCTTCTTGAAGCACACTCTCACTAAACCTTTACTAGGAAGTTTCAGAAACATTGTTGATTCGAGATGAAGACATTGTACAACACAAGAGGTATTCTTCTGCTGCGTTCTAACAACGGAAATGGCCTTGCCTTAACGATAATATGTCCAGCGAATGATCTGATTTACATCCTCTTTTTCTTTCTTTTAGGTTTCTTTTTGTTTCGCGTTGTAGTTTTAGAACAAAGTGCCTAGGTTATGTTTATGTAAAGTACAGATTTGAAAGAAACACGGAGGCTTATCTGATTAAACCTTCAGGGATTAAAATCTACTGATCCATTTAACCTTTCACAAAACCTCTTTTTCCTTAGAAAACAAAACAAAAATATGGAATTACACTTGTATTGGATTACGATATAATTTAAGCTGAAGACTTGAGAAAATATCGAAAGTCCTTGCAGAATTTGCTTAACTCGAATGTTTTATTTGAAACAAACTATCTCTGATGAAAATCAACATTAAAGTAACAATAAACAGATTGATTTACACAAAAATGAAACAGCCAAGTAGCAAGAAAGTGCTCTAGTCTGTTAGTCTCTGGTGTCACATACACAGATTTCTTCGAGTACCGGCAATAGAATCTTCAGACAAGATTAGGATTTTAACTCCAAGTAATTGAAAAGTGATGAGACTCTTGTCTGAATCGTTGTGTAGTCTTTGCTAGTGAGATCATGGATAGTTTAGCTTGCTGCTTCTTTGCCTTTATCCATGGTGTAAACTGGTATTTCCCAATTCTTGTTCTTTTTCGGATCATCTGTCAAAGTGAGATCCGTTTCGTACTCTCTAAATGTTTTGAAGAATGTCTTTGCACCCATCATTATCAGCCTCTCCACCATGAACAACTGATAATTGTTTTCGATTATCGGATCCAAAATCTCACTAAAATTCGATGAATAAGCCACTTTATACCTGCAGTGAAACAAGAGTCTTACATGAAACTTCCACATATATAACTATAGAACTTGAATCTAGACCTTATAGTTTTACCTGATAGCTAGAGGTGAAAAGAATCCAGGGGTTCTCTCATTAGAACCGATAAAAAGAGTCCGTCCTGGTGGGATTTGCTTCTGAATTCTGCCAATGATGAACTCTGGCCGTGTGTCTCTGTCTAAATGTGGAAACTGAGTTCTTTCAACGCGAAACCTGTCTTTTCTTGTTTTCAGTTTGTCACCTCGACGAACATGGATTGCATCGTAAACACCAAGTTGTGCCTTTATCTGTTCAACCAAAACTGATACATAACTCAACAGAAGAGAACCATCTCCTTTTCCTTTTAAAGCTAGATTGATGGATTATGTGAAACTAATTCACCTTTTCGGCAGCATCTCTCAATCTTGATGCTGCCATATTCGGGAGAAATGAATAAGGAAGCATGACGTCGCTACGATTACCTCGATCCTTGCATTCAACAAACCTACAGTGAAGATAGATAGATATATGATCTGATCAAACTAAAGTATGATGATGACTAACACAAACAAGATAAGAAACGATGCTCGGGGAACAGAAACTTCCAATCGATGGGAAACTCAGTTTCCTCAGCAATGCTTACCATGCAAGGGGACTTGCAGTTCGGTTAATGAGCAAAAGATTTGTAAAGTGGCTGGAGTTATTTAGCTCATTCCTGTTAGCCCCATATACATGCGCACTCCCTCGTTCTTTCAATTTCATACTCGTCGATAGCACAATATGCCATGTTTCTGAGTCATCCAAGATCACAGGTATCTTCTCAGAGATAAGATCAATATCATACAGTGATTCCATTGCACACGAGCTAACTTCCCAACTAAGAACATACAAAGGAGAGACCTCTTGTGTTAAAAGTTGGGAACAAAACAAAAGTAAGTTTTTAAAGTCATTTTAAGAAACTCTCACCTTTCCTCTGTAGTTTCATTATCAGATCGATTAAGTATACCTTTCTTGTTATGTATTGGATTGATGCACATCCGAGATGGCATTACAAAAGTCCTGCAACAAGAAAATTGCAATTACAGTGACCATCTTACCAATAAAGCTGCATCATTTATTCAACTAACCATCTCATTGAACAAGAATGCTAATTGGCATTTCAAGAACTTCATCAGAAATCTCAGAAGTTTGAAATTTTGGTGGATTTTGCAAATTACCTGTTAAGAAACATGGCTTCTTCAAGGGCACATCTAAGGCTAGATTCTTGGTGACCTAAACCGGCACAGGTCTCGCAGTTCTTACCAGGACAATCGATTCTGTTTCCCCAATACAAGTACTTGTCAGACAAACTATGTTGTCTCTTGCTTCGAGATGACCTCACGAAATAACCAATTAGGGTTGTCCGATACGGTAAAGCCAATCCTCCGGTGGAGATCACCGAAGTGAAAAGGAAGAGAAATGCAACGGCGACTATACATAACAGAACAAGTCTTTGAGATCTCGGAGTGGCTTTTGACCTATGATGGGTTTTGCTCATTGTCGCCATTAATGAAACTGTTGTAGCTAGATCAGAGGAAGAAGAAAGAAAGAAAGAATCTTTGCGACGGTTAGGTAGAGAGATTAAGATGAGATCAGAGATCTGAGGTCAAAGTCACGTGGTTGTCTCCGACAATGTGAGACACAGTCACGTGTCGTATCATTGGTCTGATCCAAAGATGTCACACAGACAAATTGTTTTTCCGGCGGTCATTAAAAGAGTGCTTCACACGTAAACATCACTGGATTAAAATAATCATCGGATATGTCTCATTCTGTACATTCCTCTTCTTCATAAACTTTTCCTTCCCACCACACACACATACACTCACAGACATAATTATCGAATCTTTGACTCAGAAGCTTACCCATAAATAGAAAAAGAAAACTAAAAAAACTATCAAGAAGTGGAAAGAAAGGAAGAAACCAGATCTACTCCACCTAGTTGCATCTTTTCTCATCTAACAATGGCGTTACTCTAAGCTTTTTGTAAGGTCCGAGAAGACACGCCATGTAGTAATCTGACAAAGCCTAAGAAACTAAGCTTGCCATCAGAATGTCTTATCCAATCCTGAAGAACAACGTGCACCGGCACTGATGGCCCGAGTCCGAGTTCCTGCAATTTAAAACATATGTTCAAGATCAAGCATGACCAGGTTTTTTGCTCTTCACGAGTCTTCTCTAGCCCCTAGGTGTATTAAAAAGGGTAAAACTTATACCGATGCAAGTTCTTCAATCATGATGGGTCTATTCCCGTCTTTCTCAAACAACTCGTAAGCACGCCGTGCATGTTGTTCCCATGTTTCCGTTGCTTCAAGCTGATAAACGCTTAATGCTGAAGCACAAAACTCTTCAAAGTCTAGTTTCTTGTATTGAAGACAACTTATCTGCATCCCAAAAGAGATTAGAGCGTTAAACCACCAAACCTAATGATCACGCTTATAGTCCATATATTTAGCTTTCTTACCATGTGAACAAAATCTAACACTCGTGAATCCTTCATAGCATCTGTTGAACTCTTTAGGATTGCCTGAGATTTGTAGGAAAAAAATCAAGAATCACAGAAAATCGCAAAGGAAAATGGAAGAGGTTGATGGAATCATGGAAATACAACTCACTGTTTTGTAGTTTTGCATCGAAATATATCCATTTTTGCTTGGCCCCAACAACGTGAATTGCTCCTGCAGATAAGCTAACTGCGGTACAGTTAATGTCTTGGCAAGAGCCTGAAACCATGAAAAAAAAACCATTAATCATAAAGTTTTCATCCATAGAGCTCAACAATCAAATTTGCTAAGTAAGTAGTCTATGTCACAGCTTCTGCAGAATCTAACTCACCGCTAAAGCCGATTTTCTCAATGAAGTTGACATTATGTACACTTTTACAAGCTTGTATATGATCATATCAGATGGAATCTTTAGTTCATGCGAGCCAACCAGCCAGGGATGACCTGAAGAAAAAGACAACTGATTACTCATATGTTCATAACATAAGAAGGGCCGAACCAGAAAAACGTGATAATGATGTGTTAAACCCGTTATAGAGATCAAAGATATTATACTTACACAAAGCCTGGGCCGCAGTTAGTCGTTTACGGTAATCTTTGTTAAGCAATCTTTTCACAAAATCTACAGCGTCAGGTGATAGGGATGGCCAAGGAGCTTCTTCAAAATTCGGTTCTGCCTTTAGGACAGCCCGAAAGATTCCAGATTCAGTACGAGCCCAAAAGGGCCGACTGCCACAGAGAAGAATATAAGCAATCACTCCTATACTCCACATGTCAGCTTCTGTTCCATATGTACGGTGTAAAACTTCTGGGGCCACGTAGTAAGCACTTCCTACAATATCATTCAACCTCTCGTCTGCAGAATTGCAAAACACCGTCAACTTTTTCATTTAACATCAACATGAGTTCGATAGGAGAAATCTTGGGTCAATTTTAACATCTCTAACCTGGCTTGACATAGTCAGAAAGACCAAAATCAATTGCTTTCAGAGGAGAAGTCTCATCCTTCGTTGAGAAAAGAAAGTTCTGTGAAAGGAAAACAAACAAATAGAAAGAAACATAACCGTCATTGTCACTCTGCATAAGTTAGTGGAACTAGTTCTATGTGTACAAAGACTGCTGATAATGTGATGGGACCTAGAAAGTGAAGTGTCACCAAAAGCCAAAATTATTTACGAAAAACAATGAGAGAACAATCTGGAAATTAAACATCACCATGGATTAAAAAGTACCTCGGGTTTAAGGTCACGGTGAACCACACCTTGTAGATGACAGTAAGCCACAACACTGAGAATCTGAACCATAACTTTTTTAGCATCATCTTCTGAGTATTTTCCACCCCTAATTACATCAAGCTCAACCAGTCAAAGCACGATTCAGCAGAGAAAAACAATCAAATACAGAGTCATGTGTGATTAGCAATTACCTTTGAAGAATTTTATCCAAGAGTTCACCACCTTTGCATAACCTGGTAAAAGGAGATTACAGTATTTTTATTACAATCCAGAAATTGGAGTCAAATGATTTTAAGACATCTCACCGAGAAAATTATACTTACTCCATGACAATATAAACATTTTCATCATCTTCAAACGCGTCATAAAACTGGACTAGGTTCTTATGACCAGTCAAAGCCCGCAACATCTTCACTTCTCTACTAACATCCTCAATCGCAATTGCAGTTGTCATCTGCAGTCAAAAACATCCAACACTAAGCAACGAATCGGTCGAGAAACAAGCTCAGGGAGATTGCTGGCTTATCAATATCACTTGAAAACTCAAACACATAGCATTCGAACACAATGGACTCCGGCAGGATCTAAATGCAAATAAATATGAACTCCAACCATTTGGCAACCTACCATCCACATAACACGTGACAACGACTCAAATAAAGCTCGCGTAAATCCAAAAAATGGAAACAATTTTGTTCAATCATAAGCATGGTTTCTTTACTTGCTGGAAGCCTAAAGCAAAGTTAAACATGATTCGCTAACCTTTAAGACCAATTCCACACAGCTTAACATAGAAAAGCCAAAACAGAGCCCTTAATCATATTTCTCTGACAATATCTTGACCAAAAATATATTTTAAAAATGCTCAATTCTAAACACATGGCGATAAAACAAGAATTCGAAAACATGGACATATACTTCAGAACAACAAAACGAAATCAGTAACGAATACAAAATTAAGAGAAATTGATACAGTTTCAAAGATCGAACCTTTGATTTAGGAATAACTTTAACAGCAACTTCTTGACCTTTCAAGGTACCTTTTTTACCCTTAGCAGAGCAAGTATACCCAAAATGTCCACGACCCACCTCACCATCAATCTCGTAGTGTGAAGCAAACTGTTTCGAAAACCCAAAACTCTTATCGAGGCCAATCTCACATTCTTTACCTTCGGGAATCGAAACCGCATTGGGCTTGACAGAGCCGTAGCGACGCGCGAGGAAAGCTCGTATGTGCTTAGCAGGAGAAGGAGGAGGGAAAGGTCTCTTGAAGATACGAAGAGGCGTTGAGCTCACGCTCGAAGATACGGAAGGTGAGGATTTGAATAAGCTTGGTACAGGACTTGGGCTGTAAAACGGAAAGCCGGAAGATTTCGCCGGTGGCTGTGAATTCGTCGGAGCTTCATCGGTTTCGCCGGAAACTGGGAGGCTTTTTGATTGTTGTTGCTCGATGGGTTTACCATGACAGATCCCCATGAATTTTCAATTGAGAGAATTCAAAACGAAAAGCTTGAAACTTTGTGAAGAATATCTATTTCAAGCCGATGAATCAGTTAAGTTACGAAACAGATTCATGTGGGTTTAATTTTCCCGGGAGAGAGAATAAGTAATCCCAGAAATCGAGACTCGAGAACCCAGAAAGCAGAGAAGGATAAGGAGATTCAATTTAGCATAAAGATTGAGAATTGAGAGTTGAATTAATGGGAGGAGATCAAGAGATTATTTGGAGGAAGATAGATAAACCACACGCAAAGAGGAAGAAGGAGAAGAAGGAGAGAAGCGAGCTTGGTTCCAATCAGAAGCAAAAGAGAGACTAGAAGAAGAAGGAAAAGCAAAGTGTTGAGAATGAAAAAAAGGAAGAAGAAGATGCTTTTTTAGCAGTAGCAACAAGAAACAACAAAAAAAGTGGCTTCATTGATTTCTTTTGTTTTTATTTTAATCTTTTTTCTGTTGCTTTTTCCTTTTTTTATTGCGATCTCTTTTTTGTTAAATTTGATTAATGTGATGTTTGGCTGCCAAGAAAAGAGTCTTCCTTCACCAACTTGCTACAAAATTATGATATTTTATTAAAAAAATTTTGCTAATTGATGGCTAATGTATAGATATTTGTATGTAATGTTTTAGAAATATTGTAATGTCTTGTTGATATCAACCCATCAATTTTAACTTATAGAGAGATAAAATTTGGGTAGATAAAGTCGAGAGAATAGACGAGACGAGTAGTCTCTATATTTGCCAAATTCTATCGAGACTCACACAGCAACCTTATCTTTGCACTGCCAAATTTGCTATGTCTAAAAATATCAATCGATGGATCCAAAAGAGTCCTAGAATCATGCCAAAATATTTTTAAAAAGAGCATATAACCTCGAAGTTAGTACTTGATAAAAGAAAGCTCTGCCCACTAAATGCCTAATTAGTTTCAAAGGTTAGACCCAATCGTTAAACAAAGTTTTGCCAAATTTCACTTGTCTACGTATATCAACTTTACACCAAAAATGACATAATTTATATTTTAATCTGATTATACATCCATCTCCGACGCAGTACGACATTACCATAGTTTAATCAGCTATCATTTTTTTCTTTTTCTATTAACTTTTATATGACCTGGTGTTTTAGATTAGTGTCTACATTCTTGCAAACAAAAAGAAATTAAAATTAACAAAAAATATAGAGTTTACACTATTGTTAAAATCACAATGCTTTTAAACATTGATGTTTACGTCGCAGTTATATACAAAACCATATTTTAATTCAATTTATAGGGCATTACAAGGCTATCATACTTGATTAATTATGTTTTCTTACACGTAACTACCAAATGAAATTATTAATTATTTCTTGGACTATACATCTTCCAATGCAGCCAATCTTCATAATTCGTGTATTTCATAAACTTACTTTTGTGTAATCTACGAGATAGTGACGATCTCACGTGTTAATGAGTTAAAAACTCAATATCCGTAGTTGGAAGGCAATGATTTGATTGATTCTTTCTTTTGCAACGAGTTCCTCGAGTGTTTTTTTTTTTTTTTTTAATAGTATAAAATCAAATTCTTTACGAATATAAAATAATTGCGTTCATTGTTGTTGGCAACTTGGAATTGAAATTTACAGATTTAATTCTTTAGGTTTAGTTATTGGTTCTTATTTCTCTGTTGTTTTTTTTAATCATGTAGAAGAGTCAATTCAATACTTCAGCAGACATGTACAATATAAAGATTTCAAATATTATCAAATGAGTCGTACGTGAGAGTTGTAACAACCAAAATTATGTATTTTCAGATTTGAATAAGAAATTAGTCAAATAAATAAAGAAATATTTGAGGTACGTAAGATAGCCCAATGAAAGTATAAAACAGAGAAAAACTAACAACCATCTTCCTCGGTGGGCTTTTTTGGTTGTGTGTTATTTTAGCAGCAAAAGCCTAAATTATTACAAGATAATGGAGGGAAAGTTAAATTTAATTACAAGATAATGGAGGAAAAGTATAGAGAAAAGAAGAATATCAATATTACATCTACTCTCTGTTCCTTAAAGATTGATGTTTTAGAGTTTTCACATATATTAAGAAACAATTATTGTCTAATTATTTGTCAATTACTTTTTTATATCAAACAATTTTTAATAAGTTTGAACCAATAGTAATATAGAACAGTTAATCATTGCGCCTTGAAGTTTATGATATATTAATATCAATTAATAAAAAATAAAACAAAAATCTAGAAAATCAATCTTTATAGAACAAATTAAAAAGCTAGAACATCAATCTTCTAGGAATAGAGGGAGTATTATCTTCCACTTCTTCTTTTTTTTTTGTTTTTCTTGTTTTTGATAATCACTTCTTTTTCTTTTGCCACCGATCTTTTCATTTCTAATTTTTTCCTACACCGTGAATTCTTACATGAAACAAAATAAAACAAATAAAGTTACATTTATACACATATGTTAAGTCGCACAAAAAAAATAAATACACACATGTTGTTGTTATGTAACATAGGGCATTTTGCATAATAAGTCAATTCTATTTTTCCACAGAATTTCACAATAATCACATGCAATTGTACGTATTTTCATCTACTTAGTCTGTTTCGGTTGCATCTACAAAGTCCGATTTTAACAAATTCGTTTAGTTTCGATTCAGTATTGGTCCCGTGAATTATTTGGAGTTTTGTATAAAATGATTAATATTATATGTGATGAAAGAGTTGGTGCCTTTGACGTACGGCATAGACTTAGAGTAGAGACGTAGTGGTCTTGTGTAACTAAAGTGTTGTCATGTCGGAGTCACTGTCACTACGGGACTCCTCTACTCAAATCTAATTTGGGCCTCTCTGAAACCCTAACCGATTTTGTTCCGATCTCAGTTTGGACCCCTCTTCTCTCTCCTTAGATGGGCTTTTGGATCCTCGATTCTTCTCCTCGTTATTCCTTTTTGTTAACCCATCAAGGAGTTTGATAATTGAAACTTGAAAAGAAAAGGGGTTTGATCGTTTTTATTCATGTGCTTAAAAAGAGGGTTTAAAAGTGAACGAACCACATTAAAGTGTCTCTGTGAATGGTTATCTCAGGACTCAGGAGTTTAAGTCTCGGTTTAAAGTTTAAACCCTCAACTATACCTTAAAAGATTAGAAAGTGTTGCATATACTAGTTTTCTGAAGTTGTCAAAAAGTTTTGGAGAAACATAAAAACATAGTGGATTCAGGATTCTAGATAAGTAGACAGTAGTCGCATATATATACATGCGGGTACCAAATAAATATTTGAAATACTGTGATTTTTAAATAGATGTTAGTTAATTTGATCAATGATTTTTTTTACTATTGGTTTTAGATTTTCAAATAGTATTGTTTTTTTTGTTTTAAGATGGTTCAACTACGTTAGATATCTTAAAAAAAACGGTGTTAAAATGTACTATATAAGTAATTCTGACAATGGAGAAAATAAAAAGCACTGATTTAAAGAATGAGTAAGTGAAAATTTAGCAAAGCAATAATTTATTTAGGTTTTCTAAATTTCCGGTAAAACTCCGAAGTAAGTGAAAAGAGGTTCCCACATTTGTCTGTGTAGGTAAACAAGAACACTTGACCAAGAAAGACAATAAGAACACATGAAAACAAACACATATTTGACATATAATATGATAACTCCTATTTGCTTGTTTGTGAAATGTAAATAAAACAAAGTAAACACAAAGAAAAACTAGTGATAGGGCATAGGATGGTCAAAATTGTGTGGTTAGATAAGAAAAGGGGACTCACATGTTCACACGATGAGACACTAACGTGTGAGGTTAATGATTGCTTTTGCCACACTACCCATAAACTTCAAAAGGAATTAAAAAAAAAAAAGTTTTCTAGTTTTTTTGAGTTGAATACAAATATAGCTTTAATAATAATATATAGTGCAAAAGCTAAAAATATTTCTATAAGATATACTTTATGGTCGAGAGGTTGAGTATAGAGGGGACACCAGCTGCCCCAAAACCATCACGCTCCATGGACAAACTTTCTCCAACTTTTTTTCTTCTTCTTCTTCTCTTAGTTTTAATCAATGTTATTTTATTAAATTCGCCATAAAATTATATAATTTATAGAAAAACAATTATTAAAAAAGAGAGAAAGGGAAAAGGGAGAGTGATGAGAAGAGTCGGTCCTTTTTGTCTCATAGAGCCAATGGCCCATCAATTTTATTTCCTTTTGTCAGTCTCCTTTTCTCACGCTTCCTCTTCCTTTAATCCCACATTCTCCTTCTTCTTCATATATATTCCAATTTACTAATGGTCTAATTGGCTATATTATTGAGTTATTTGGTTCATATATCCCATTTTCTATAAACAAAACGGATACCTATTGAAGAAACCAGAGATACATGGCACACATGTAGATAGTATCTCTACAATATTTCAAAACACTTTCATTATAAATATAAGATATATGTACAAACCTCACTAGACACGGATACAAATCATTATAAATCCTAACATATTCTTATTCACACAAAACTTTAGAGCCAAAGTTCGATTAGTTAAAATAAATATAAAAAAAAAAATTAATAAACGACAAAAAAGTAAGTTTTCAATATTTTGGTTAATCCTGTCACCACACACTTACTATCATTGAACATATAGCCATACATAATATGAAGTTTGGTGTCCTAAATGTAAGTTTTCAAAAATTGATGGTGCTGCTATTTTACTTTATTTGACATACCATCTAATTTTTGTACCTAATTACAATTTAGTCCTACTTTTTCACACGTATTTTGTCCTATATATACGCTACTTATGTACAACGTTATTCAGAGTGTTTCTTTTTCGAATATACGTTTAAGGGTTTTTGTGTCACGCATATATGCACGCCTTTTGCATATGATCCAACAAAAACAGTCGACTAGACATTTCGCTAATACTTAATTAATCTCAACTAAAAGTATCACAGTTCGTCACAATCACATGGATTATATTTAATAAGTAGTGTATATATGATCAATATAAGATAGAAAGAAAACAAGGCACTGCTTATATTCTTTGGTCTGAAAAATGTGGTCAAATGTACACATTTAGAAAGACATGAAGAAAGAAAGAGAGAGGATAGATTGGATTCATTCGGAGACAAAGGTGACATAAGGGTCGCTTTGAAACTCACAGCATACAAACATAGACCTCTCTTCACCATATACATATACATTCACATATATAGTGTGTATCTGTATATACATATATATATATATCGAAGTACTCTAGTTTCTTTTGGACTTCACCAATCACATCTGTTACTTAGATTCTTCTACGTCGACAAATATTCCCACAATCTCAAAACCCTAGTCCTCACACCAACAACCAAAAAATAATATAAATAGAGGAAAATAACATCAAAATATTATTTATATATATTATATTATATATATCTTTTTCTTTTTCTTGAAAAAGAAAAGAAAAAAGAACACACCAAACCTACTTACAACATTTGCTTACACTCCCACGACTTTGTAACTAAAACCATAGAACACATATAAAAAGAGGAATAAAAAAAGGTTTTGGTTTATAACCAAGTTAATTATGATCATACCCTATATATATTAATCAATTATAGACTTTTTAGTGTACTCAAATCTCATCATTTCACACCATTATGATGTGATCCAGCGCACGACGCCGCTTTGACCGTTCTCCTCCTCCACCACCAGAACTACGTTCCATCAATGACTTGCTTGACCGCTCAAGCAGAGACTTGAGAGCGTTTTGCAAGAAATGCACAGACTCGACGCCGTGCATCTCTTTGTCAGCAGCTACGACAAGAACACTTCTTGTCCGACCCCCAAGAGTTACCATCTCAGCTCGGAGAGTCTTCATGTTAAGAGACTTGAGAATCTCCATAAGGTCCGGCAAGAGATCTGATCTATCCTCACAACATAGAGAGGCTTTGAAGATGATATGACCGTCGTTTGAATAGTCTCCAAAGTGTAGAACGCTAATCTCGTCGGTCTCTGATGGTAATAGTGTTTGGTCGGAGTCGGAGATCTCTAGGGTTTGCTGTGTAAGTTCTTTGACTCGTTGAACTACTTTGGCAAGCAGTGTGGCTTTATCGGTCTGAAAATAGAAACATGAAATTACAATGAAAAGTTTGAATATTTAGACTAGCCTTTCTTTAAATTTTGGATCAAGAAGTTGAAATTTGATGTTCGTATCAAATCAAATCAAATCAAATCAACTGAAAAAGCTTGAGAACTTTCCCAAAAAGTGATATACTATCCCAACGAGCTTCACAAAAAGGCCATGAAGCTTTTCGTTTCTTCCTCTATTAAACCTTCTCTCTACTTGCAAGTTTTGAATACTCAAAGCAAAATGAACATTGATCTTTGTAGAATTATATATGTAGATAATTATGAATTTATGATCATATTTTTATAAAACATGTGTTTGGGTCTAAGAAGTTGCAAAACCCTAATACCCATTTAAAACTATTCTCTTAAAATTGATAAGATGTACGTATATACATATGTATGAGGACATATATACACCAAATGAAAGAGAATTAACGTTTATATTTACCTTAGAATTACAAGAGAGTACGTTACGAAGCTTGTTGAGATGAGAATTGATCCTCTCTCTTCTTCTTCTCTCAGCTTCTTTGTGGTTTCTCAAAGCAGCAATAGCTCTGTCTTGAGCCATCGTTTCTCCGATGCCGGAGATCGCCAGTGGGTAATACGATGACGTCGATGAAGAAGACCCACATAAGCTCTGCATAGTCGTCATGTAGTCGCCAGAGACGCAGTACCCTCCGCCGCCGACTTCGTTTCCGGCGAGAAACGAATACAACATCTGATCTGAGGTCTCTGGTTGCATTATCTTTTGTTTGCGCCGCCTTCTTTTGTTTTTTTTTTTGTTAATTAATGGGTTTGTGGAGCTTTCGGTGGGTTCTGTCCTAAAAGATGGATTATATATACGTGAAATGAGAGGGTAGAGAGTGTAGATTGATGTATTTTTTATTATTATATACTTTATTTTTGTTTTCATGTATATTGGTGGGGAAAAAGTTGCTATAGAGTTCGGAATTTTTGGGAAGGGTCATTAAGTAGAGCACTTCCATCAATGGTGTCTCCATGAGACATCCATAATAAAAATAAATAAAAAATAATTTTGAGAAATTGTTAAAAATACCCCTTTTTCAATACCCCTTTTCAAAAATGCCCCTTTTGAGAGTCCATTTTTAAGTTTGCCCTCTTTTAATTTTTAATGACCATTTTACCCTTATTTGAAACAAAATTAGGTCCACAAAATACAAAATATTTTTTGGCGGGAAAAGTGATCCCGCAATTTTCCCGCCAAAACACTTGTAAAATCCTTTAAAAAACCTTGTAAAATTTTTCCGTAAAATTTTTTCCCGCCAAAAAATTTTTTTGCGGGAAAAGTGATTCCGCAATTTTTTTTTTGCGAAATTTTTTTGGCGGGAAAATTTTTGGCGGGAAAAATTTACAAGGTATTTTAAAGGTTTTACAGAGTATTTACAAGTGTTTTGTAAGGTTTTACAATGTATTTTAAAAGGTTTTACAAGGTACTTATAAGGTTTTATAAGGTATTTATAATTTATAAAACCTTATAAAAAACTTGTAAAACCCTTATAACTTGTAACACCTTATAAATAGCTTGTAAAATCTTATAATATCTTACAAATACCTTGTAAATACGTTGTAAAACCTTTTAAAATACATTGTAAAACCTTATAAATATCTTGTAAAAAACCTTTAAAATACCTTGTAAATTTTTGCGGAATCACTTTTCCCGCAAAAAAAATTTTTTGGCGGGAAAATTTTTTGGCGGGAAAAAATTTTACGGGAAAATTTTACAAGGTATTTTAAAGGTTTTACAAATTTTTACAAGTGTTTTGGCGGGAAAAATTGGGGGATCACTTTTCCCGCCAAAAAATATTTTGTATTTTGTGGACCTAATTTTGTTATATTTCCTTATATATTTATGATATCTTTTATTAAAAGAAGGGTAATTTAGTCATTTTGTACATAAAAGGGGTATTTTTAAAAATGGACATCCAAAGGGGGCATTTTTGAAAAGGGGTATTGAAAAAGGGGCATTTTTGTGAGTCTCCCATAATTTTTTAATCAAAAAAACTGAGATACTTTGAGACTCTCTCTCTCATACACATGTCACTCTTGTATTGGTTTAACAATTCTTTTTTAAAATTCAATTACTCTAAAATTTATAATATCAATTAAATAGTTTATAAGTTACTATTTTTTATTTTTTATTTTTCTATAATTCATAAAATAAAATAATCTTTATATCAAGTTCCATTATACAAAAGTTTAAACTATTTATTAATATAATTTTTAATTGATATTAGTTAAGTTTAAATTAATATTTTTAGTTAATAAAATACTACTATAATATTAGAAAATAAATCTGAGATGAATAATCTGATATTTTGTCAACATTTTGATATTTTGATAAATAATGTGTTATCTTTTGTCATTATTTACAAAATGTCTAATATAATTAAAATCTATATGGCAAAAGTTTGGCGCATCATCAAGTGAAGAGTAAAACATATATTATCTATTTTGGTTTTGTATGTTTTTATTTGCATTTTGATTTATATTATCATGGTTTTATATGTAATTTTGTGTTTAATTTATATATCTTTATTATGGTTTTATATGTTGTTTAAAAATCAATTTATGTTTAATTGTGGTTTTAAAAATAATAGTCACTTTAATATATTATTTATAATTAATAGTACTATTAATTAATGTTTTTAAAATTATTAATAATCATTATATTATTTACTTCTATAAAAATATAATTATTTTGTTTGAATGACTATATTTAAGATATAATTTGATATGTTTAAAAATATTATTGAAAAATTAAATTTAATATAAAAATATAAATATTATATTGATGAGACACCCATAGAGATATCTCACCAATGGAAGTAGAATTTTAGTGTGAGTTTCTCTAAATAAATTAAACATAAAATATTAATATTATATTGGTGAGACACTCTATGGATGTCTACCATTGGAGATGCTCTTAGGTCATTGTCTTGCCACCATCATCATTCTAAATAGTTCTATATGATCTATCAATTGAACTGAAGATACCATACTGAATTTTGGGACTATAGTATAAATTACTGCATTTTCAAAAATTAAAAAAAAAAAAAATCTCAAAATTATTTGAACATTTTTTAAAAATCTTTACTTATGAATAATAATGATGTTTTACCACTACAATAGTAATGATCTTTTAGTTATAATTATGATAAAATATCATTTCTAACGTATTAAAGTTAGACAATAAAATGCATATCCTAATGATTTGTGATTTGTGCTGCTTCTATCATTGTGTTTTTGTCCGGATAAATCTCACATTGTGCATGTCGACAACAAAAAAACAAAATTTACTAAAGTTAAGTATATTATTTTTACTAAAATTAATGTCTGAAAAACTTGAGTATTCAAAAGCCCTAATTGTTTTTTTTGTTTTTGACAACATAAAAGCCCTAGAATAATCAAGAAATTTTGGTAATCATAAGAGAAAGCTACGCCAGAAAACAATTTACCAAAGAGACAAACCATATGAGGAAGGCTACGTTACGTCTGAAATATGGGCCTAAAATATACAAACAAAAGATAAAGGACCCAAGTTTTGGCCCAATTAAAAAGTTTTGGTAAAACGGTGACCACAAAACTGGCGCAACCAGAACCATGCAGTAGAAGGCAGAGCTCGACCTTAATTTGACTTTGATAATGGCAGTTTCTCCCAAACATTTCCAGGTTCCTTCATCTTTCACGCTTCCTCCATCTTCTTCCTTCAGCTCCTTAATTCCTTCTTCTCCACTCTCTGTTACTGCTTCAACGATTCGAGTCTCCACAAAATTTAGCTCCATACGCGTCCGTTTTAGTCGACGATCGATCGTCAGATACAACGACCAAGCCAGAGAAGACGAAGAAGATAGTGACGAGGATAAGGAAGAAGATTGGAGTTTTGAGGAAGCAGTGACGCTCTTCAACAAGAGAGATTATTACAAAAGTCACGATGCGCTTGAAGCTCTTTGGATTCAAGCAGAGGAACCAACTCGAACCTTAATCCATGGAATTCTTCAATGTGCCGTTGGATTTCACCATCTCTTCAACAACGTAAATCTCCTCCTTTAGCTCTATCTATTGCTCGTTTTCATTTCACGTTTGAGATAATTTAAATATGAGTGTTTTGGAATTTGAAGAACCATAAAGGAGCGATGATGGAGTTAGGGGAAGGAGTATGTAAGCTAAGGAAGATGAATTTCGAAGATGGACCGTTTCACGAATTCGAGCGAGATGTTTCGGCCGTTCTTGAATTCGTTTATCAAACTCAGCTCGAACTCGCTGCTTGTAAGTTTTCATTGAGGACACAATTTGACAATTGAATTTGAACCTAAATGTGACACTCAAGAAATAAAATTTGAATGATATAGGTTCAGAGGATATGTGTTTGACGATGGATCAATCAGACAGATCGTATCAACTCTTGGGTGGTTATGCAGCTGGACAGAGTATTTACAGCTTAGAGACTGTGCTTGACTTCAACAATGGAATGTCTGAGAAAACTTCTATACTCTTCTCTCCTTCGAGTTCATCGTCTGAGCCAACACGGGTTAAGCTCCCTACCTTAAGCGCAACCGATAAGCATCTTCTTGCTTTTACATACGACCAGAGATTCTGAAGAGAATGATCAAATATAAGTTCTGATTTGGACTCATCAATAAGAACTAAGAAGATAATAGAAGATCTCATTACTGTTATATTTCAAGAATCAGGTTCTGAACCTATCAATAACATGAACAATGAGTCATTTAGACAAGAAGTAAAAACACATAACATCCCTGTCTTTTTAACCACCAAAAACCAGCCATGAATGAAATTTTAGAACAAGCGAGGAACATTCTTTATGAAATTACATAAGAAGGTAGTAAAAAGGAGAAGCCGAAGTTGTTTCCAATCCTCACTTGGCCATCATAACCTTAACAAACTCTTCGTAGTTGATCTGACCATCACCATCAACATCAGCTTCCTTAATCATCTCATCGACTTCTTCATCAGTTAGCTTCTCGCCGAGGTTAGTCATCACATGTCTCAATTCAGCAGCTGAGATGAAACCGTTCTGATCTTTGTCAAAGACTCTGAACGCTTCCTTGAGCTCTTCCTCAGAGTCAGTGTCCTTCATTTTCCTAGCCATTAGGTTCAAGAACTCAGGGAAATCAATGGTACCATTACCATCTGCATCCACTTCGTTGATCATGTCCTGAAGCTCAGCTTCGGTCGGGTTTTGACCGAGGGAACGCATCACGGTACCGAGCTCCTTTGTGGTGATGCAACCTGCAAAAAGTAATCAAGGATTGGTGTTACTATTATGCAAATCTAGAATTAGAACAATTCAATCAAAACTGGTCAAATACCATAGGGCTGATTCAGACTCTCAAACCTAACAAATATTTCATCGCTGATAATAAATAACGACGATTTACATAGATCTTAAATTAGAACAAAGGCAAAATCAAATCCTTAAATTCAATTTTGATTTGAATACCGAAAAACGAAAAGAATCAATGCGAGGATACGAAAAATGGATCCGTCACCACAGTAATCGATACAGATCAAAAGGAAACCAAATCAAAGCAGAAACTAAATCAGAATTATCCGGCGAAGATCTACGATTAGAGGGAGAGGGATGCTGAAGCATACCATCACCATCCTTGTCGAATAAGCTGAAGGCTTCCTTGAATTCTGAGATCTGATCGTCAGTGAGCTGATCCGCCATTGCTTTTTGTTTTTTTTTTCGGTGATTGGAGAAAAAAGGGAAAAACGAAGAGTCTGGGAGACAATTTGTGCTACGAACGCGGACTTGAGGCGTTTTATTTACCGGAATTACATTGAAATGTCGAGAAGGACCTTGGTTTGGGGATGGTATTACGAGAATGCCATTAATTTGAGTTTTAAATTTAAGCGCCAGGTTGACAAGAGAAGAGATGGATCA